GCCCTCCAGACAGAACACTGAACCCTTGTACTGAATCCGAAACTGCTTGTGGCTTTGCGTCGATTCGTTCTGTGAGCCGGTAAGTTCACATAAACACAGGTGTGCATGACAGTAACAGAAAATTTTCACCATGACTACACTGCTATCATTCCCAGAGAAGAGAGTGGGTTTTGACTTACCTTATTTGTGTTTAGCACAGCTAGGATGATGCGGTGATAGTCAAGAGCACTCCAACGTACAAGGAAAGCTCCCTCCTCTGCTGCCTCCTTTTTCAGCTTCAGCAGCACAAAATCATCACTGGAAACAAACCAGAGTTGTGATATAACGCCCTGCGTCTCTTTATAGCCTGTTTGTGTCTGTATGTGCATGTGTAAGAGGGAAAAACTCACTGCATAGGCCCATGCAGTCCATTTGCTTCACTCAGCACTACCCTTGGGGGAGCCACTTCATGACAAAGATAGTGGTGGGCGTCTGCAGTCAGCCGATAGTATCCATCCAGGAGGGAGATGAAGGAACGGGCCTGCTGGCTGGAGTTCATCTGAACCTCCTACATACACATACAGAAACACCACTAGCTTACAATCAGAGCTCCCACCTACAGACGCATACAAATTCAAAACATAATATCATGCCTGAAGTGTACCAAAAGCCAAAGCACTTTTAGTCACACACATATAGAACTGGAGAATATAAGAGAATCTAGGCATCCATGCTTAATGTACAGTATATACAGACACTTTAAAGACTGAACAAGCTCACAGACAGAATGACTAATATACAGTATATCAATTGGACTAGTACATCACAAGCACATTTACCAATCAAATTAATGTATCAAAGCTTTTACACAAAGGGGTAAACAAGTGCTCTCACCATGCAGCGGTTGTCCTGAGTGCTAATGCACACATTAGCTCCAGTGATGGCTATATGAGTTATTTCAGGGAAATCACAGAAGCGGGTCAATTTGTTGGGAGTGTTCGCATTTGGCTGGCTGGACTGCAGTTTCGCTTTGCTCATGTAGTCATTCCTGAGATAAGTGTTTGCCTGTGCCTAGGTAAAGAGATGGAATTCATTTTATAAAAAGTCGACACTAGCAGAATACACAACAATTCACAGAGTCAGGAGCTTGAAAATGCATTTTGACAAACCTTCTGACCGGACACCTTCCTCCACTGAATGCCGTTGGTGCCAGACACCAGTATTTCATGTGTGGCGGGAGCCGTGTAGTTGTCTTTTGAGACACCCTGCGCATGGGTGGTGTTGGAGTAAGAGCTACTTCCATCCCCTTCCTCCCTCTGGTCCAGGTAGGGTACAGGGAAGGTCTCTGTACCAAAACGTGGTGCCAAGTGCTCGAGAGTAGAGATGTACTTGTACATGATCTCGTGGGCGCCCAGCCGCCCCTTGTCCACAGTGTGCTGCTGGAAGGTCCGCACAAAGTCTGCAAACACCCGGTGGATCCTGAACTTCGTCAGTAAGTTGTTTTTGGAAATGTGCTTGGAGAAAGACTTTGGAATGCAGCGGAGGAAGCTGAAATAAAGAAAGAGAAATGTTATTGTTACCTAGATCCAGTCATTCGATTAGATTAGAAGATGTACATGTATATATATCATCAAAACACAATAGAACATTTAACATCTTTGTTGACGAATTTACAGATTTTAGTGCAATTAGTTATTGTTACTATTTCACAATTTTAGTTACACAGGTGATTAAAAAGTACCACTTATAACAGCATATGACTTTGCTCTACTATAGCCCCTCCATCCAAGTAATTACCTGACTTTCTCGGCAACGTCTTGTAAGGTACAGCCTGTTTGCACTGCTTGGTGTGAGAGGTGAAGCACAGCCATTCCCAAGCTCTCATTTTTGAAGCGATTTAGCTCCTCCTCTGACTGAACGTCTTCCATCTGCACTACTTCGTTCACAAACTCATATTTAGCCTTTTGGAGACACAAGAGGCAAAGTGGTTAGGTAGTGTTAATATTTCGTGCGCCACAAATGCAGTCATGTGCGTTCAATAAATAAGCAATAGACCAAAAACATTATGTTCAATACAGACCTGAGAGAATAAATACTCTAAGGATGTGATTTCAAGCAGAGGGGAACTGCCCTGATCAGTCCCAGGTCTGAGACGGTACCGGGATACAGTCGGCTCCCTGTCATTTAGTCCATGCCAATTCCGAAAGTAAAACCTATGGAACATAGAAAACAGACAGCCTTTGTGAATATGTCCACTGTGTTCTATCTGCCCTCTTAACACAGTGTTATACAAATACAGACTAACCTCATACAGTAGTGAAGTACCAGGCTGGAGTTCTCATCTGCACTGAAAATGTGGTTTGGACTGTACCAGCAGCGTGACAGTGGATTGTACAGAGCAAACAACACATGGCACAGAGGTGTTATCCCTGTGGAATAAACACAGAGGATAAACACACGTGCCACCCACAGTCTAAAAATACTACATGACAAAGAAAAAAAAGGAAGCTCCTTTCACTTTGATCAGTGCGGTGCTGTGTATCTGGTCAAGGCTGTCCCACTCACCTACAGCCTCGGCAGCTGAGATGCACAGCTCCTCTGCTGTGACCTCTCCACTTGTGTGGGACAAATATCTCTCCCCATCCTTTGTCCAGAAGAGGAAAACATGGATGCCTCGACCCTGGAGAGGCTCACTTTTGCCTGGAATTGTCCCTGGCCTTGAACGCCTCGACCACCAATTTCCAGACATGGCGGTGAAAAGGCAATTCACTGAGACAGACACACACACACACACACACACACACACACACACACACACACACACACACACACACACACAAACACACACACACACACACACATCAATGTAAATCACAGTGTATCACTTTCAGGGTAATCAGCTGTTGTACTGGCTGGAATCACGTACGTATTAAGGCCTACGTAAACACAAGCCCAATTTTAAAGCGACATCTTGCGATTTCCGAAATAACATATTCGGTATTTCGCATATGTACACGATTATTATTTAAAAAAAAACAGAATTGCTAGATTGACAAATGAGAAGAAATCTAGAATTAACTTTAAAAAATATGACGTTAGACAATCAGATCAATTTTCCAAAAGGCCTTCCGGGGATTACTGTCTAAGTTATTGTTTACATTACATGCTGATATACCAACAACTGTATGATTTACATATATAAAAACGCGAGGTAAATAACACAGACTGCGTCACCGAGTGGTTTAGAAACTTGAGTCCGCACATATTTTACAACGTATCGAGTAACACTGACATGGAAACATATAACTAAACATTATCATGGGCATATCCGTAAACTCAGAAACGTGTATGAAAAGCAAGTATCTTACCATTTAACGGCGAGCTTTTGAAGGTGTTACATTAAAGCCTGTGTCCGTAAGATGGACCGACGGACAGTCTTAATAATCTTGTGAGCGTGTTTCCCCGCGTCGCCTACTCTCTCTGATTCTCATGAATTGTGTGACAGCCTGCTTCTTCCCGAAACCAAACGAGGCCACGCCCTCCCGTCCGGCGAGCATAGCGCGTACACGCACGGCACGTACAAATGGGTTGACTTTTCAAAATAAATGTCAGTGTGTCAGAATAAAAGGGACGAAATGTATACATTTTATATATTTTTATATTTGTTACTTATTTGTTGTAAAGTTGTGTTTTTATCAAATTAGTTCAATTTTTTTCCTGTAATTAACACACAGAAAACCTTGGGTAAGGTCATATTATTCCATCATAAGAGGTTACAACCATATTTTCATTATCAATATTTCTGACACCCTTTTTCTTCAATATTTGGATTGTTCAGAGTATAAAATATCAGAAAATAGTGACAAATACTCAGTTATTCCCTGAAGCCAAAGTTAACATCATCAAGTTGACATTCAAGTGTCTTTTGTTGTCTGCCTGACAGTCAAAAACTCAAAAATACAGAGTTTTCATGAAATACTGGCTTCATGCTTATGTTGAAGGTTGTGTTGCTTGGCTGTCTTTCTCAGTGTGAGAATGCAAGTCGAGTAAGTACACTTTGTGATCATTGGCATCATGACAGGGACAAAGTGGTGTCTTGTCTTTGCCCCTTTTGGATAAATGCGTTGAATTTTCTGATGTGGAAACTGAATCAGGAACATTTACTATCAACAAACACCTCTGTAGATTGCATTATCTATACTGAACTGTCTCTAATGTATAAACAACCACCATTTCCATACATGCATGGGACAGAATATTAGAAATACCTCTCCATATAAAACAATTCAATTGAACACTGTCAAAAAAAAGGAAGAATATTACCAAGTTTTTGCAAGGCTGCAGTTCTGGACTGAACTAGATTGTACTGTTGCACAACATGTGATGAAAAGAGTCCATTTCAGTGCAGATGATATAAGCAGGCCTGATGGGTCATGTGAAAGCTTGGAAAACACTGTGCCACTATAACTATATATTATCACATCCAATTATATATTTTTTAATTTCCAAATCACAATTGAACACAATAATTAAAGCTTTGATCATAAGGTAACAGAACCCATCGCCAACATAAGATGAGAAGTCAGTCATTTAACCAGTCACATAGAAACACCTCCATTGACATGCCTATAATAGACAGGTTCATCCAATTTTCATGTTGTGCTGTTCATCACTAGATGTCATTATTTTGTTATTTCAACTGGTCATTTTTTTTCACAAGTGTTTGGTGTTTTGTGTCAGCTGTTATCTGCTATACCACTATTCAAATGCAATTCAGATGTCCACCAAACTACAGTGGCTCTTTCAGGACATCTTCAGTGTCTTGACAAATTTCAATGAGATTTTGTTTGCCCCCCCCCCTTTTCTGACTAAATGGAGGTCCAACCATGCTACATCATTTAGTTTGTTTGCAGTGAAAGTTAGCCCTAGTATCACACTTTCTTCACATGCAGTAATCTCTCACAGAAGCTACACTGTACACTGAGCAGTTTTATTTTGTGATTTACAAGAAAGTCAAGTAATGCATTTGTAAAAACTGTTTTGCTTCATTTATTTTTAATTGCATCAGCTCTGATCAAATTTCAACTAAACACTCTAACTTTCAAAATAAAAGCATTAGCAGTATTGAATCCAACCACACCTACTCAGCACTTTTATGTATCACATAAGCGAACAGAGGCCCATGTGAACAATCATTCTGAGGACCTGCATGGTCCCTTTTATTTAATTCTAATTTGGCCAAGATGGGAACGAGTGGGGTCTATGTAAACCATCAGTCAACCCCAAGCCCTACAAGGACGCACTTAGGTCTCTTGCCCATTGTGCGCCAATGGTTAGGCCATATTAAGCTACAGTATGGGTGGAGCCAGCGTAAGCATTCACCCTCAGGCCTGAAACTGACTGCTCTTTGTACTTATATTGATTGTTGTCTTGCAATGTATAATGTCATGGCATATGCATCTCTTTACCCTCTGTAGCACTGTATCTCTATGTAGGGCAAATGTAATTTGTAAATACCAAATGCTTCATTAGAAAACACATGCACACATGCATTCACTCCATATTAAAAAGTAGTCGTTACCAACACTACAGGTCTCACAGATTGATAATTTTCTTGTGATTCACATTTATGATCTCTAACTTTATGCTTTGAAAAACATGTCACACAAATCTGGAGTCTTCAGACATAACCACGACACCTCAGCCTTATGTAGCTGGATATAATTCAACCTTTACTTCAGCAAGTTTGTAAAAAATGTCAAATAACTGTCTCAATTAATTGTTTACTCAAGCCCTGAAAGTCAGACACATCTTAAATTTGTAAATGAAATGGAAAACAAAACAATTATATGCAGGCATGTGTACACCTACGTACCCACACAAATAAACAGGTGAATACAAAGAAATGTAAGAATACAACTTTTGTGATGTCCAAACAAATAAAAGACCTAAACACAACCAGCTGTTTATTTTCCAAGCAGGAGATACTGATGCAATGTAGTTGTGTAGTTCAGTGAACAGTAATCCCTTAAGTCTCAGCTAAAAATTTTCATCAAGTTATTTCATTGTTCCTTGATTGGCAAACTAGTCATACACATAGTGGAGTTGCAATACAGTGGGTAAGCACATTTGCACAAGCAACAATTGATAGGATCAACATTGGTCATTCCTTCTTAGTTTCTTCCTGCTCCTGTTTCACCTCCTCATAGGTAGCATCTTCCTCTTTTTCATCCCCATCGTCTGTCTTGGAGTTGGGGACCCAGAGCCCTGAGTCTATGCACCTCTTCATGTGAGCCTTCGCCTCCTAAATCATGTAAAATAATCACATTTAGTGACTGACCAAAATTGGACAGGTGTGAATCAGATAACTGTACATTCATATGACTGAAATATGATTCCTGACAGATTTCATTGGTCAACAAAACAGTCTGCTGCTTATTAGAAAAAAATAAAATAAAATAAACTGTAGGCATTAACAAAGGAACCTACCGTTGGGTCCATTTTGCTAATAACTTCTTGTAACATTTGGATGTCCTTCTCATCAAAGCATTTCTGCATCTCCTGCAATTATGAACATCATGCATGAGGCATTTGAAGCTTACAAAAGAAAATGAAGACAGAGTCCTGAGGCCTATGGAAAACAAAAGAACTTACCAATGGCAGGGACTCGTACACTTCAACAGGATCTAGCCCTCCTGGTCCCAGGCGCTTTTGTCGTTCCTCTTCCTCATACTCCTTCATGGCCTTTTCTATGCGGATCTTCGCCCTGCTGCGAACCCGCTCCTTAAATGACTCCAGCTCATCATTGAAAGCTTCCTGGTATTGCTGATCTGCTGTCTATGAGGGGACACGTGCACACAATCAGTATTTGCATTTATTAGGGTGTTTCCACCACTGGAACTCAGGAATTTCTAACATGCTTTTCAACCAGGGGAAGAACAAAATTTAACTCCTGTTAAAATGTTCCCAGTTGTAAAGAAAAAGTCCCTGCTCCTCTAGTAGTACTTTCTGACAATTCAGAAACTACTGGTCGCACAAGAAAGAGGGAGAGAGAGGGGAAGGAGAAGGGAAAGGCGGCCAAGTGAGCTCTTGAGTAAATGAAAGAGAAAGCACTATTAGAGAACAAAGCAAGTGAAAGAAAAGAAGTAAATATCCATGGAGACGGGTGCTCTAGGGCTTCACTCTCACGCTCTCATTTTCTTTCATTCATTACATCCAACTAAAAACATTACAGTCACACAACAATAAACACAAAGAACAAGATGACTCTCTTGTTATTTCCTCGTGTGAAAATTGAAAATTGCATTTCAAACACTGTTGTTGTTTTTAATCATTCGTTGAATTAACCTGCCTCATCTTCACCGGTCTTCAGATGTGGTACAAATGAAAAGAGTATTGTGGAACAGGAACTCAGTTCCTCTGGTTCCATTGCTCCCGGAACGTTTTGATTTATAAGGAGGCTGTAAATTATTTCATTAGATTTTTCATTAGATTTTGTAGCATCCAAACAAAGTTAATCACCTTAATCTTGGCGAAAAATTGACGAAAGCACCCGCGTGGATCCACCTTGAGGCTTTTAGCCAACTCTAGAATAAACTGCATGACGATGGTCTGATGAGCCACTTGCTCCATCAATGCATGTTTCTAAAAAAGAAGGAAACATTTTTAGAATAGGGCTCATATTCTGACCTACACAATGGCTGTCTAAAAAAAAACACAGGTTGTGGCAAATAAACAGGATCCCTGAGTTACAGTCCATAAAAAATTCTTCTGTATATCTTAAAATACATACAATGTATGTGATGTAAGTGCTCTTAAAAGACAATTCTTTTTAGCGTTTACCTCCTCGACTTCAAGGTCAATGCACATGATGACCAGGTAGTTGGCAGTCTCTTCACATACAAGATGAGGGTTGTCAGACAGGTACTTCTGGCTGTCATCCCAACGTCGCAGCATGCCTGCAGTGAAGAAAGCAGACAGACCACCATTACTTTCAAAAACCAATTCCCCATTACACACAGTAAAGAACAATGGTAAACGAACGTCAATATTTCTTACCGAAATGTTTGATCTGCGTCTCATATTTCTCCACGAAGGTTTTATGCTTTTGCTCTTTCTCTTCTTCAGTCTCTTCATTAGATTCAGGTTTGACATTAACAATGCTCTATGGATGACGGACAGTGACAAAGAACAATCATTACGGACTGTTTCTGATAACTTTTAGAGAGAATGTCACAAGAGAAAACTTATAAAAATAGTCAGCGATATGTACTTTATGAAGCCACAGACTTGAACCAAATTCAGAGAAAAATGAATATGGCTGTCAGCGACTGATTTAACGGAGTCTGACTTAGACTTAATTGGTTCTTGTCTGTGTTAATATGTGATCCACTGTTAATTCCTCCAATCACATACCAATTTCAAATTCATCTACTTTTGAATAACAGAGAAAAGCCAGATGGAAGACAAAACATGCAGTGGTACCGTAAAAACCACCAACCTCACTGCATAATCAGCTTGATAGCAACTACAGGTACTTCCAAAGCACACTGGTATGATCAGAGGCAGTAACTGAAGCAATAAAATGTTTAAGGACAGGTGCCCATATAGTGTTGATCAAAGGTAAAAGTTTTGTTGATACAGAGCCTGGTACCAGGATAAAAGAAAATTACTGCTTTTTGTATCATGGACCATGAATATAAATATTGATTTACTAATAATAATTTAATCATCTGAGATGTATTGTTTTATGGCTATTGAGTACCTTGCAAGGCTTCACTTATGAAACTTCATGAATCATCATGGTTCCCACCGAAGAAAACTTATGCCCACATTTCAACTTTAAAACACAAGGCTGGCTTCATATTTTAGTTACAATCAACAAATTCCATGACAAGACCCAAACCAAAAGTCAATGTATCCAAAAAAAATACTGAATACTACAGTCTTCCAAATCACATTGTCATTTTGTTGGAATAGGCAGATACAGGATATAGGGAGGTGTAGGTGTAAAATCTCATCATACAGTAGTATGTTATTTTTTCATTGGTATGTGTACCAATCAGACTCCTCTTTTTCTCCTGAACTAAGAATACACCAAGAGTGGCTCTGAGCTTGGGTCCAGAAACTAGTTTGCTGGCAGGCAGCACGCTTTATCTGCCTCACCTTGCTGAAACCATCCTTGCTGAGCGTGTCCACGTTCCATGGCATCTTCTTCTCTTCCCGGTTGTGGTCATCCATCTTCTTCGCCCACTCACGTTCCTCTTTTTTCAGTTTCTTCTCCTCAGCCTGGGCTTTGCTCAGCTCTGCTTTGGCATCATCTGTTTCTGAAATGGTCAGCTCTTGTACTTTCTTTTGTGCCTCTGCTAGCTTACGCCGGCAGTCAGTGAGTGCCTTGTTAAATTCTTCACCTTTTTTCTCAAATTCTTCCATTCGCTCCACGCGTGCCTGAAGTACAAATGTTATAAGATCAGTCACAACCACAGGGACAAAACTTTTATGTCCACCAGTCTTTTAACTATGGTGGACCTCCACCTTCTACCAGTTTGCTTTCCTAGATCTAAGGCCAATTACAAAAAGTATTTGTAATTTGTAGACTATTACCTCCTGCAATATAATAATTTTGCAATTACAAGTCATGCAGCACCAAGGGACCACCTAACAACAGCGCCAATTTTACTAAAAAGAAACCGCTTAAAAATCATATGTGTCTTAAAGCTGTACCTGGTGTCTCCATCTGAAGAGGCTGGGTGTGTCGATGTTTGGATGGGTGTCATCTTCATCGTCTGACACCTCAATGTGGTCCCACACGCTGTAGTCTATTCTGGACATAATGCCAGCAAGAACCTAACGTAAACAGCGTTAGCTTGGAATATGACTCGGCTAAGTTCGTGGGCTAAACGAAGCTCACCCGAATTTTGAATCCAAAAAGCATACAACAAAAGAAGGCTGCTCTTTTCGGAAATATGTAGTTCTGTTCAGTGCAGCGGCTGGCTGTGTATGGCCAACACTAACTCAGATAAAGCTAGCTAGCGTGGGCTAGCGACAGGCTGCTACAGACTTCTAGAAAGAATTGCTGCTGCATATTTCCGTCGACGTCAGCGCGTCACTCCGTCACACGGACGTACGTCACTCCGTATATTGCAGTACAGCACCACAAACTAGAGCCTCAAAAATGATCTTAGTCATACATCAACACCTCTTGAACACAGTTAAAACAAAAACTGAACACTATAACCTTTCAGGATTGTTGTAATGGACTTCATTAGTTCTTGCTAGGTGTAGATATTAAATTGCAACCTCCAGAGATTAAAAACAAGACATATCAATAGACAGTGTCCTGTGATTAATGCTCAGCTTACTTATATTCTGCAACTACACACAGTAATTTTGGTTTTGTATTAACATGTTTATTTTATCTTACATATTTGATTTCAAACATGTATTTTTTTCATTTTCACAATTTCCAATATATTCATAAGGGAATTTTTTTAATGATAAATCTTATTTTTGTTTGTGCCAAATACCACATCCATAAATGTAAATGAACAAAAAATAAAAATCTGTGCTTATTGTTTGAAAAACATAAGCTTCTACTTTCTTTGAATGTTGAATATTCCCTGGCTTTTCATTTATTTCTTTAATTTTTCTCTTTTAATGTAACTATTTGATATAGATACATTGTTTTGTATTTGTCTTGCTGTTTTGCCCTGGCTCTATATTATCTGACTTTGCCAAATGGAGTTGCTTTAAGAAAGAAAAAAAAAGTTAATCAAAATAATTTAACAGCAGTAGATCTTAATTTTCTATCTTTGTAAATTATATCAAAATATACATATATAGGCTACTTTTTGATATATATATATATATATATATATATATATATATATTTGTTTTTTGGGGTTTTTTTTCAAATTTTCCAAAACCTTCCTGACATATCTTCACGTTTTGCTTATGTAACAATGCAGTATTATGAATTTAATTGTGAACTGTGAATTATGAAAGTTCATAAATCAATGCTGTTTTTCCTTCATCTGGTAAGCTACTGTTTAAATTAATATTTTCAGTTTTTGGACTACTTTGTTGTTCACTAGATAGAGAAGAGGATAACATGAGAGGAACACCTGAGGGATGCACTTAAACCCTGTGGATACCCTGTCTGGACCATTGTGAAATCAGCCACAAGATTCAGGAAGAACACAGACAAGAAAAGAATAACATCATCAAAAACATTGTCATTCGATATGGGTTTGGAAAGTTTGATGGAGTGGAGTCGTGTACCAAAAAATAGCAAATAAATAATTGAATGTGCAACACTTATCCACTCTACCAGACTTATTTTCAAAGTTAAATGAATAAAGCCTTTTTAACGTCACTACTCATATATCATACGGCTTTTTAGAGCCACATACAATACAGGAAATCACCTCAAAATATATATATAAAAATGCCTTATTCTTCATCAAACCGGAGGGAAGAGACACTTTTATTTTGAAATATGGATACTGAAAAAAATTCTTCAATTAGAAGACTGACAAACTAATTAAATGGACGATAAATATCTGGTTTAGACATCATCCCAGCAAATAGGGCCTTTGACCTCATTCTAAACTAACACCTAAAACTACTCAGCCTGACTTACAGCAATCATACTGAGGGAACCGGTATTTCAATGATGACAAACTCAGTAGACAATGATATAAACCGCACCCGAAGGCAATTAAACTTAGAGAAACCATTGTTCCAGAACATGACGATCCATGGTGCATTTCCTGCCCTGACAGAACAATTGTCTTATGAACATTAATATGTATATGTTTGCACTCTGCAAAGAAAAGATGATATTGCTTGGTTATCTAATGACAAATTCAATGTATTATTAAAGTAATTTCTCAAGTTTAGCATAGCTTACTAGGGATTTTCTTGTACATTAGACAAGCTGATTGATGCCAAAATAGCCTTGGGCAAGACAAACAGCAATAACAGTGAACAGATCAACTGGGATATCAAAAATCTTTTCCGACAACACACTATATTTCTTTTATTGAGAATTAAGTTATCATGTAATGCAAATAAACACTTGTATTAACATTTAATATTTAAATCCCACCTGTGTTTTCAGTTACTCTAGATGACTGGAGCTACAATGGGAGTTATGGGAGGTCACGAGACTCAATGCACTAAAAAGAATGATAACAGTGTAATTTGTCTGGCTTTAACTGGTGCAACAAAGCTGACAGGGGGATGAAGTACATCCGTACATGCCCCGACAGTCGTGAGAAGGGAATAATTACTTCATATCCAGTCTATGGGTCTAATCAGGCAAAAATAATTTAGATCTACTGTGTGGGTTTACAAATGGTGTGTAGGGCCTTAAGCTACATCTGCAATAGAACTGTGTAGCTCATCGCCCACATGCACAAACAAGTGTAACTCATACTTGATGACAGGGTGTGACAAAATAACAGGGTACACTGTAGAAAGTAATTCAGTCAAACTTCCCTTTAATAAATACTACATTGAGCATCTTATATTACAGTGTTCAGCTTTATGCTGAGACTGTGCCACATGGGTGTATGGCTTGTCAAACACAGATGTAATTATTAACATTAATAAAAGTTACACTCCATATACTGTGTGTTTACCGGCTCCAGTTTACGTATGTGCCAAAATGTGGAAATTCATATTCTTCCACATGATGTAATAAACATCTGTCTGTCTGCAATGTTGCAACAAACACAGCAGTTATTCGGTCAATACAACAATGACACAGTGTCACTTTCTGACATAATTACCATCAAAAGCATCCCACAGGGAGCTATGTTTTACTTTTCTTCTCCGCAGGTTTTGAGTCTTTGAACCCGGAGCAGCAGATGGAGTTTCCAGCCTGCATCTCACAGCACCGCCGCATCTCCCTGATCACATCCTCGCACATGCTCTCCACGTATTTATTAGCTGTGGGAGGAGGATAATGTCAGGTTTGCTCTGACAACATGTCATGGCATTCAAGTGTGCTCTTTTGTGTACCTTGTAAACACTTTTGAATTGCGCATGCTTGCTTTTGACACGGATCTTTCTGTGGCATGCCTGGAAGAGAGCACACAACGACAGTTTTCGGAAGTTGTCCACTAGTAGTAAGCAAATACACATCAGGCTCAAGACTCACTCCCACCTTTGTCGGTTCAGGGAAGTCGGCATAAGTTAGTAGTAGTCAGATCTCGGATGAAAGGTCGTTAAGCTAATGTTAGCCGCTAATGCCACTTCCTCCTTCCGCTTCTTTTTTTTCAGTTTTATTGGCTATTGGCTAACCAGTTTATAGGTGCATTAATGTCACTTCCTCCTGCAAGGCAATGTTTTAATCACGTGACGTGTCGATAGCCAATAAAAAGGCATCTCTGACAAGGTGCAACAGCGACACCTAGTGGCTTAACACAGACAGTCACCTGACAAATTCCCCTATAAACAAAAAGAATACATGGCATACATTTAAAAAGTGCTTTTAGCAGAAGGTACCTAGGTAGGTAGTTTTTAATCCAAAAGTATTAATGTGCATTTTTTAGCATTGCTGTGTTCATATACTTAATATATCTCTCAGCTGTAAGACACTACTTCTACAACTACTAGTAGAACAATTACTAAAATAATTATATTATAATAAAAAATATATAAATAACAATGTGAACAACAACGTTTTTAATTTAAATTTTATTCATAAAGATAAGCAAATTAAGAAACAGTTCATATTTACAGTAACGGCCTGCTTTTCTTTAACATTCAGCATTAAAGTTGCAGAACTAAATTTCCAGCATTAACATTAACATTAACAATAATGCAGTCATCATTGCTATATTAAGTGTAGCTACACATCTGTAATGTTATAATATAATTTTATTAATAGGAAAATAAATCTAACAAAAATATAAATTAGATACAGGATATCACATGGGAAGCATAAAAAGTGAACTATATTCTAAACAACAATCTACCACAAGAATACATTCATGTTAAAATACTGACAAATTAAATGGCAGTTGCCAAGTGTAGTATATTCGGGTCTTTTTCTTTATGAGATCTAGTTCTGGATGATAGCAAGATCCTGATAAATATCTGTTGAGTTATGAATGCATTGTCATTTCCGTCTCCAAAGCAGCAACAGTAAAATCCCCTTGGCTGAATTCTCCTCGTATGTCCAATGTGGTCATCCAATCCCATCTCACGATCCTGTGTTTCAAACACCTAAGTAAAAGCAAAAGAATATGCCGGTTAGGACATGTGTGGAGACAACTTGCACATGTGCTCTTCAGAGTTCCCTTCTACCTTTGGTCTTGGCCTTGACAATGAACTGCTTGCTCTTCTTCTCCAGTGTATTGGAGGCAGTGCAAGTGTAGGTCCCTGGGAGCAGTGAGGAAGAGGTAAGAACTGCTTCATCCTCCATCCTCTCCTGCGCAGGATGGGAGGATTGCCAGCTGTACACAGGTGTGGGATTTCCTGTAGCTGTACAGTTTAAGGAGATTTCAGCACCCACTGTGAGGTCCAACACTTCTGGTTCAGGACTGAGGAACATTGGGGGAACTAGAAAGAAGATCATAGGGATTAGAAGTACCACCACTCTTCAGTGTATTAAACATGTGAGAACTCTTTTTTTAAAAATTGGTTATAGCTTCATGACTCACAATACACAGAGGCATTAAGAGGCTCTGAGGTCACAGTAGGAGGTGGTTGTGGTCCTTCTGGTCCAAGCTCCAGCTCTGCTACACACCTGTACTGCACTCCATTCTCGGCTTTGGTTGGCGTGACGACGAGGATAGAGGACACTTGGACAGGTGAGGAAGATGTGAGGTCGGCGAAGGAGTGGTTATAAACCTCAGTCTGCCCTCTGTACCACCTCAGGGTGAGATACTGAACAGGAGCGATGTTTTGAACCTCACAGAGCAGCTGGTACTCTTTTCCTTCCACCATGGGGCCAGTGTGGTTCACAGGCCTGATGGAGACACTGTCTGGGGTTTCTAAATGAATGATACGCAAGGGTTCAGGTCAGTCAAACAAGTTTATGCAATTCACCCATTTCTATACTGTGTATGAAAACAAGAGCTGACTCACTGTAGAGGACGAGATTGAGTTTCTCCTCACATTGTCTGGGAGCTGTGAAAAACACCCCATAACAGATAGGCTCTTCTATCCAATCAATGAGACTGTCTACCTTCCACTGGACGGACAGGTCCTGCTGAGTGTTTGCAGCATTGATGGCCGATTCCCAGCCCAGGACAAGTACCTCACGGGCTGCTTCGCAGGTGACTGACACCGACTCCCCAAAGCCCACCACAACCCTGGAGGGCTTCAGGATTAGGGAGCAACCTTCACCTGACACTGAGACATACAGCAGCAAACACCATCACCATGGTGTTATTATCACCATCTTCCACTTGTAATACTTTCATATTCACTGTATACAAGTAGGCTGCATGTACCTATTATGTAACTCTGTTACAACACTCAAGAAGTCAGCCTCATATTTCTTAAATACACCTGTGTATAATAGTGAAAGTATAGCAATCTGGTTTCTTCTTCTAATTTCTATGTTAAAACAACAAATGTAGGCTATACTTTGTAGGCCTACTTATAGGATTTCACCCACAGTTTATTCAACCGACAAGGAAGAGTGTAAAGTCCAACATGCACTGGTGCATTGAGTATAGTTTTGTTGTTTCACAGTTAACTGACAGCCGGTAGCTCCTCATAATCTTATAGAAGAATATAGTGTAGCCACTTAAACAAAGATCTGATGCTAATTACAGTGACCTAATAATGCGAGGACTGTCTGTCTACCTTAAAAATAAACATGCTTTAACTTGCTGTTGCACTGACGGTCGTTGTCACATTCGTATTAACACTAACTAGAGGTCATTATTTGCCTTTTCGTTTATCACTATTTTCATAAAACAATTACTGCGCCGACCATCATCTGTAACAAGAGAGAGAGGGAAAAAACATCTTACCCGAATAAAACATGCAAAACGTCAGGATCCATCTCAGAAAGTTGTTCCCCATGTTATTTTCTGCACTGAGGCGTCGATTAAGGGGCGAGGGAAAGAAGATTCCAACTTGAACAAGCTTGGCAACTCTGCAGGGAACGATGTCGGAACAAAAGGGCCCCGTTCATCCCAGCTGACTTTGTGGGTGGGGGGTAAAAGGGAAAGAGGGAAATTTAACAGGTGGCAGGCCTCTAAAGAAACACAGCCTGATCTTTTGAACCGCAGTAATCTTACATGCTTTTCAGCACGAAAGTAAAGATCTATGATAAATACCACAGCATGTGTATAGCCAATAATACCCCTCTTATATATATACTTATATACTTATATATATAATACATTTTCCATTTTCATTTTCCATTTCTGGTATATTACAGAGCAAAATTGTGGTATATTTATAATAAGCCGAATTGAGATGCTCTAGATTTGTAGCATGATCACATTGAAGTCATAAAACTGTCTCTTAAAGCCCAAACCTTGTTATCCTCCAACCTCTGACCCATGTAAATCTTATTGAATATGGTAAACCACATAAATCTGAGCTGTGCTTTCAATAGACTTAAGGGTTTGATTTTTTTTTTTTTTTAAGTTTTTACATTCCAGCTTTAGGTGCGGCCACGGTATGCTTTGATAGCAATGATTTGATCTCTTGTCTTGTTGTTGGCTGTGAACATAAAGCCAGTTTTCAGATCTGTATGCATGCTAGTTTCCTCTTGCTCCAGGACTCCATGCTCTGTGAAATCCCAGCAGGCAGGAGTATTGGTGTTGTGCAGCATGTAGCTTGTAAGACTCACACTGTGACCAGAATGCTGCACAGACAGAACAGCTCTGACTGCAACTGCGGTGCAAGTGACCGAGTAATCGGATGCTTTTTGGTGTATTTATGGCGAGCACAGCTGGGAATCTCAATGCACAGATTACAGTACATGCTTGTTTCACTTTAAAATTCACTGCTCCCTCTTCTAGGCATCAAGAGAAATATGTATTTATGATAAAACTTTTTTTTTTTTTTTTAACTCCATGACAAATTGAGCAATATCCACTCTGCCAGGTTGTTATGGCAACACAGTCAGAGCATACACAAACAGTGCTTTCTGGCAAAACCTTCAGTGGAAATGACAGCAACTGAACATAAAGAACATGGTTTCAGAAAAAATGGGTTTATATTGGCAACCGTGGGCAGGATAACAAATGCTCTCCTTTACATTCACTTTGTTCAGTGCTAATTAGTATGGCAGTCTCAGCACTGTATAATGTAAGCCAGATTGAATGAGAGAGAGAACGAGAGAGAGAGGAGAAGGGGGGGCTCAGGGGCAGACAAAAGGTGGCAGGGAAACAGTCATGAAAGACACTGGTTTGACTTTGCCTCAATCAGTATGCTGCCAAAGGATGTCACCGACGGAGCAGTTGGCTTCATTTAACATCTGATGTATATGCACAAGTTGCACATACAAACCTTGTAAACGACTAACTTCCCCTTTTTCAATTTATTCAGCTTTCATAATGAAAAGGTTTACAAATGAATATCAGCATTTTGCACTTTTCTCAGACAGATCAGACAAACAATAGGATGTAGTGGTCAATAATAAGGTCATTTCAATAAAGCAACATTTTGTCTTATCATATGAAATTGAAGGCACAATATAGAAAATGGCATGGTCAGTCTCTTCAGTGCAAAAATAGTTCAACATTCCAGAGCTGTACCACTGTACACAAACACATATATATATAAAAAACATGGTAAAACAATTTTCAAAACATGAAATGAGAATAGTTTGTGCTTAATTCATACACCAAAAATGAATAAAATAAGAATAAAAATAAAAAAAACCTCACTCGCAATGTACCCCACTGCATTATTCCAAGCACCCTCAAGCAATTACTGTAGCTGCAGTGCAGGCTCTGATAAGTAATAGTGTAAAAAGAAATATTAAAAAAAAAAAAAAAATATATATATATATATATACATACACCTGAGTAGATTAAAACATGAGGATCCACTCCATCAGTAGCCTGATCTCATGTGAAAAATATTTACTTTTTGATCATTTGGTGGCAGATCAGGAAAGTAGGTAGGTAATATAGGTCTAATGTGTCCAATATATATCCTTCTTTCAGCTGTTTTAGTCTGTACCATTTTCTCCCCTGTTGGAGAGGTAGCATAAAGTGAGTTTATCAGACCTTTTTTTTGTTGGAAACAACTTCCTGCTGCTGGTGGATACAAGGGTGATTAGAGCATTTTAAACTGAACAATACAGTAAATGTGCAGGCCATAAAGCCAAAACAATGAGCTAAAGGAAGCTAAAAAGCTCAGTAGAGCCACTGTGTTTGGTGTTCATGTTGCTGGGTACAACAGGAATTTTATGCAGTCGGTGTATTTACATGCACCTAAGTAAACAGGTTACAGTCAGCTTTTTACACGTGCACATATGCGGGACAAAGACAGGGAAAGTATTGCTGGGACAGCAGAGTGGTATGGTAAAGGGGTCAATAACTACAATGACTGATGATGCATACTCAAAAATTTCCATCCAAAGTCAGACTAAAAGTGAAACTAACACAAAGTAGCCTTTGGCAATCTGAATGAGTTGGTTTCCACTGAACATTGGTCTCTTTGCAACACTCAGACACATTCTCATGCTGTGAGGCAAGGCTGTACCCGAATGAAAAAACAAACTCAGGAAGTAACATCACCAAAACAACATTTAAAACAAGAGGATCATGCTGCTAAAATAAACTCTGGGGAAGGGGAAAAATCAGATCACCAACCTGTTGCATGTAAACAATAACCAGGTCACTACAGTGCACTCGTCAATGACCTGTGTACCCTGATTTCTGTAAGTAACCTGGTTTCTTAAGTGCATGTAACCATACTGTTTGTTTAAACAACAATATTGATTAGTGGAGCTTTGAAGACAGCTGATGGGATTATGCAGTCTTAAAGGCGCAGCAGAGTCCATCAACTGAGCATTCAGAAAAACCCATGCCCCAAGACATTAAGAGACATTTAACTGATAGGTTCACAAAAGAACATTTAAAAGTTACATTTTCATTGCAAAGCCATGCAGAATTTAATAAAATTATAAAAAAAAAAAAAAGTCAGCCTCATTCATACAGGTCCTGATGAGGTAGGTTGTCCTCTGAGATAGCTGCCTTTGTTGAGAGAAAACATTCCATCAGGTGTCACAAAAATGAGACCGGCAACGATGAGCAGGGCGGCCAGGAAGGTAAATCCTCCAACTATGGCTGCAAAGGTTGTTCGGTCCCCTGTGGGAGATGGGAGTTTTTTGTTATATTCTCTCTCTCAGCTTATCTGTTTAGACTGTCTGGTCTGCAACAGAAGAGTTTCTCTGCTTGTGATAAACCATACATCCCAAAATGAAAATTAAAACAAAGAAAACAGCCATTAAAATCCCAGCCGTGGTTCCAGGGTGACTACCTGATGGAGAACAACAGCAGGAGGGAATTATAGAATGATGTCTTCACTGTAAGACAAAAACGGAGTAAAACAAAGTGAGGAACATAATGACTTGGAGTAATGATCTTACTTGGAGCTTGGATAAGAGTGAAATATTTGGTCTTGCTGCCCCCCTCATTAGACGCTGTGCAGGTGTATGTCCCTGGAAACTGAAGGTACCGGGGCAAGATGAGCTGATTCCTATTGCGATTCTTGATCTTCTCTTGTATGGCTTCAGGGAGTTTCCAGCTGTATACTGCCATTGGGTTTCCTTTCGCAGTGCAATTTAAAATCATTTCAATACCAGCTGGAACTTCCTGCGTCTCATTTGAATGCGTGTGGAACTTTGGTGGGTCTGAGGACGTACATGAAATGAAATGGCAGACAGAAAGACAGAAACAAAGAGGAATTAAAATGCATTCAGAGAAAGACAAAACTTGCTAAACATGCTATTGCAAATCCGAATTTTTGGTGGTTATATGATGAGGGTGTTAAGAACTCACACAGTACGATCAATTCATGTGACTCTGACTGCATCATGGGAAGCTTTGGTCCTGTTGGCCAAAAGTTCAGCTTTGCTTCACACCAGATCTGAGTTCCATTATCGTCTCCCTGGGCGATCCAATCGAAGGTAGATGACTTATTGACTGGAGACAGGCTGGACTCGTTAAATGTTTGAGTATTGATTATCTCATTTCCTTTGTGCCAGTATACAGAGAGGATTTTTGCTGGTGCAACATTAGCAATATCACATCGCAATTGATACACTGTGCCCTCCACCATGGGGCCCAGCGGACTTGGATCATGCATATACACACTCTCCGGTATTTCTGTAGAAAAAAAAGTGCCAAAATGTTTCACAAAACTCTGACAAGTCCTGACATCAGTGGTATTAAATGATTGAAAATTACAAATGGCATGCTTGGCAATTTCAGATAAAGTTAAGGACTACTCACTGTAAACGGTGACTGGCAGTTTTTCTGAGCACTGAGTACCGTTATGGAGATTGAAGAAGCACAGTGGAGCTATCTTCCAGTCTGTTACAGAGTCTGTTTCTAAGGTAAGAAAGGAGATCCCATCTGTAAGTGCTATGCCACCCTGTGAAGACTCCCAGCCCATTCCCTCTGTCAGTTCGGGTGATGAGCTGCAGTTGACTGAGAAGGTGTCTCGATATTTCACCACAACTTGAGGAGGGCTCAGCTCAGCCTCACAGTTGGCACTCACAGGCTTTCCTGGAAGCACACAGTATGGATTACAGGCTACATTGCAAGCAGTCATGTACAAACCAGTGTATTAAACAGCACTATAGCACAAATAAGTTTTGGCCAAGTTATGATTTTGTTCTCCAGATCCCCATTGGCCACTGTATTGTAAGAGTCACTACTCTTCTTGGGGTCCTCAAAACTTTTTAAACAATACTTAAATGACAGAATATACACATCAGTATCATTCACACTCACAATAACACTCACAATACATAACACAACCACCACGACAAACCTATCTAACACATACAATAGCTCTATATAATAATTTCTTTTCTTAAGTAACCAAGAAAAGAATTCTCTTCACAACTCAAGTCACAAATAAAAGTGGAATAAATAGCTCCCTGCATCCACATCACATCTTCAAGGGCAGAATACAAACAAGAAAATCATATAAACAAGAAAGTCATCTAACACTCTACACTGTTTCACACTAAACAAATACAACCTTAAATTAAAAAACAAACAACTTGTTGTCTGATGTCAAACTACTTGGTATGCTGCTTCAATTCCATGCCACCATTGTATTATTAATTGACAGTTCTCTGTATTAAACTAGTTCTACATGGAGACAAAGCAGAATAATGATGTCTATCTGAAAAAAAAGGATTGGTCTCTATAAAATATTTGTGGGATTTTAGTTATAACAATACCTGTGTTTTTTTTTTTTTTACACATAACCTACAGCCAAAAAGGTTATTCATTGTACTAATACTTACTGCTTTATTCTGCACTACCTGTAACCTGTTCAGATTACTTTCTGTTGTATTGGACAGAATCACAGAACAATGACCTAACCATGTTCACATTAATACTTGCACTGGTCGTTTGGTTAAATAGCTAGGCCTGAATTTTCTCGTGTTTTATAGCAACCACGTCTCTGCTCATTCTCACCACCATCTGACCAATTTGACTGTTCCAAGAAATTTCCCTATCAAATGAGCCCTAAAAACTTTGTGTCTGTTACTTGGTCAAAAGCTCTCCTATAGCTAAGTGTAAAACCGGTATGACTTTAAATGAATATTTTGAACCAAATACCGTACTTTGAGTTATACATTGTTTTATTAACTTTAATTCTTCATATAAAAACACACTAAGCTCTCCTGATGTGTGTGCTGATGCATATATGGTGGAGTCGTCGGCAAACATAACAGTGGTGGCATAATTCAGAAATAGAGGTAAATCAAAAAACAAAACAAAAACAATGACAGTCCTAAACAACTTCCCTGAGGCACTCAGAGTTGCTTTTACCTCAGAATGACTACCATTAAAATGTAAAGTATATATCCTCTTGGTGAGATAACTTTAGATCCATGCAACAACAGATGCCTCAAAGTCGTAACAGTTTAACTTATTCAATAACAACTTATTATCAGGCATCAAATGCTGCAATGAAATCCAACAATACAGCATAAACAACTTTTTTCTTATCAATTCTTTCATCCAGTTGGTCATTGAGTTAACACCGTAGTTGTGGAGCGCCCCTTTCTAAAAGAAGAAAAAAGAAGGACACTTTGTATGGGTTACAGGAGTCACCATTTTAAGGAGTAGGCCTATCTGACTTTAGTTGATACGATCTCATAGACAGGATGATAAAAACAGACGCTGGGCACACTGTAAATGCATGTTTTCACAGTAGAACTGCACTGAGGACATGTAGGTCTCCTGTAGTTTCTGTTCGAAAAGCATTCCAAGTGCCTGCGGTGATAACAGTCATTGAAATTAAATTTCACATTCATTTGATATTATAAGGAGAGAAAAAAACATTTTTTCCTGTTGACTACAAACTTTTCAAAAAAGGACTTGGGATACTAATTTTCAAAAGGTTACACATAAAGGTAGGTAGGTAGGTAAAGGAAGTTGCTCTAAAACTATTAAATGATCGACGCAAACGGCCACCGGTTACAATTTGAGGCAAAGAAGCAAACAAATGTAATAATCAGGTTTCAGATTAAACAATGGGCGTAGGCCAGGCTGAAGAGTCGACGCCGTAACTTTGATTATGCTGACACCATAACTTGTATCGTTAATAACCCTGAATAAAAAGATAACGAACACAGCAGAAAACGGGTTTACCTGCACACGCTATCAAGCCGCTGAGTATGAAAAGCCACTTCATGATTTCGCCTGTGTACCAACCAGTAGCACTGTTACGACTAAAAGAAATATATCAAAGACTCAGTCGAACAAAGTTACTTCCAAATCCGTGTCAGACCTATTGTGACATACGTCCTGTTTCCTTCACCTGTCGACCACGTCCATACCAATCCTCGAAAGTAAAACCGTGATGCATTAAACTGCTCCTCGTAAACTGCTGTTACTCGCTGGACTACATTGGCCAGAGGTTGAAAAGTCAATTTTTGGCGTGGTCGAGGCGGGGACATTGACTAAGGATGGCTTAAAGAAATAGATAAGTAAAATGAGATGATCCATACAAGGTAATTCTAGCTTTGCATACAGACCGGAAATAGGCGGTCCAGTTGTCAGGCAACGAGCGAAAACTGAATGTTAATATTCTTATTTTCTCATTCTTTGAACATTTTCACAGTCAGCTTTACAGAAGAGGATGCGTGTGACACATATGATGCACATACAATTCCCATAATCCCAAAAAGTCCAAGCTGGAAACCCCCAAACATTTGAGTAATAAGTCTAATTTAAATATTTCCTACAGGACAGGAAGGCAGCATTACTTAACTAGAAAAACCTGCTGGCTGCAGTTCACGGCGCCCCGCAGAGGAGTAGGTTTATCAAAACACCGAGGATTTGGGCGCCTTTTGTCTTGCGTGGAGCTAAAGTTTCCAGGACTTCCACAGCTTTGTTCCTAATTGATCAGAGCTGTCTGCTGGATAGTGGCATACAGGGCAGAGTCCAAGTGTCCGAGCTTGTGCTCCCCTCAAGGATCAGCAGCACAGTAATATGAGGTCTGTTCCTTGTTTTGTAAAACATAAGCCCAGTAAAAGTTTGTAGAATAATTACTAGGTTGATATTATATGTTTAGATCCCTTGTTATCCTTTGTCACAGGTCAGTGCTCTGGTGTGGATTTACCTAGACTGAGACTAAGAATATTGGGCAGCTTTTGATATTAACCTTTTTTATGCTATTATTGTTTCAAAACAAGTCATAATACTAAGTAGCAAAGCTGAATCAAGGGGAGATTTAAATCAGGGAAACTTAAGTTACTGATCATAAATTTAAACATGTCAAATATATTCAGGCCTACAAGTTTCGCTGATTTAATTCTCACCTTGATTTCAGCTGCGCAACTTGGAAGTATTTGTAAACAAGTGGGGTGCATATTCAGTAACAAAGGAATTTGTTTAAAAAGCCACATTTTTAATAATAAAATACTGTTTTACACCAGTCAAAAATATATACAGCAGTATTCACAAACATTACAAACCTACATTACAATGTACTCATGTCCCTTATATCACAGGTAGGCCTTCAACTCCACCAACTATTCCATCTTGCACCAGGTTTACATGCCCATCTGCTCTCAATACTAATTTGTTCCATCTTTACTGTTTCTCATAAATAAATATATATAAGGTTTTGCATAAAAAACATCCTGAATATACAGTTCTAATAGGCATTAGGCCATAATGGCCACAGTAATTCATACAAAAGCATAAAACTGTAGAACAAGACAATTTGTTCCATAAGGCTGGAGCCTGGTGCGGTATGGCACAACAAAGGGCCAGGCACGGAGAAGGCCACAAACAGAGAGAAGTGCAGAGTGGCGTACAAAGAACAGTTAAGGGACAATGAATGGTAAGCACACAGTGTCCGCACATTGAGCAAAGCGAGTGATATTCACACCATCACTGACACCTTCGGAGGGGCAAACAGGCAATGGAAAATAAGTACAGCAGCACACTTCCTGTTATTGTGACTTTTAAAACGGCCGCAGTCTTAGGGCCAATACTTCTTCAAACACATTCTATAAATAATTGTAAAATAATCACATACATAGTGATCTGAGTTTAAGTCAATATTAAGGGGGCAGAATAAAAAAAAAGGTCAACAAAAACATTCATAATCATATTAGACTAGTTTGTGCTCATGAGTCAATATCCAGTTTCTGCCAAATATTTGAGTCCTTGCTCCCCCTGTTCTTTCTGTCCAGTGAAAACAGGTAGAATCCAGTAGTTAATATAGAAATTTACAACCCAAGGTTGCTGATTTTTATAATAAGATTATTCCATGAAGGGTAAGATACCCCTAAATGTAAGGAAATAAATGTGAGGATAACAGAGTGTGTGAAGTTTGGAGGTATTAAAAAGATTTCCAAACAGTCCAGTGTGAGCCTGCTGTCTGAAATGTTATTCAGGCTTTCAAACACTGTAGATTGTGGTGGCAGAGAGATGCAGCTCATTCAGAGTGGTCAGCTATCCATTCTGGGGTATTAACAGCTAAGACAGTTTGGTCATAGGAAACTGCATGTCCCAACCGTTGTGAGCTACGTTACCATTGTGGGTGCTTAGTTTGGGGTTTTTAAGGCTGTAGCGGCGCATCTTGGTGTTCGTGTAGTAGATTGAGTAAATGAAGACGAAGACGATGGAGATAGCAACTACTGTGACAGCCACAAATCCAGCTATGAGGGGCAGGTAGTCCTCTGTAATGAAATCAATCAAAAAAGCAACATATTAATATGTAAAAATTCAAAAATAATCAGCTTTAAATACAAGTGTCACTATTTCTGACATGCAACAATTCGTATGTGAACTTTTTATTCCTACATTTTCAGTTTTTCTCCTACAAGTTCAACAAATGTGCTCTGCACTGTCTGCATGCATGTTCACAAATGAAAATTATGAAAGGGCAGCTAATTATCTACTTACTAATTTAAATATATACTTTAACCTATGGTCAGACAAGAAGACAGGCTAACTGATTTGTATTATTATTGTGACACATGGAAGCCATTTTGATTTACAACTTGATTATTGAAAACAAGTCAATATTTTCAACAAAAACTTACCAAAACCTCCAACCATTCCACTGGCCTTCTGCCTTTTTGTTTGTTTCTTTGTACACAAACCGCTCAGAGAAATCAAACTCCGCCAATTAGAAATAAATGTAAATAGCTGAATAGAATCCCCTTTGACAGGCTTTCGATCTGCTACTTAAAGTTGATTTTTACTTTGCAGAATTTGCTGACCTTTTTCTGTTGACTAATTATGTTCTAGTGCTCTTTAGCACCGTCCTCTTTAATAAAGCTTATAGTTAGGGCTGGCTCAGATGAGCTCTAAACCAGCCCTTTGTTATGATGCTATAGGCCTGGACTGCTGGGGGACTCCCTTGATTCTCTCTCTCTCTCTCTCTCTCTCTCTATCTCTCTATCTCTAACTTAACTTGTATTTTCTTTCTCCCCTAGTTTGTGCTTCTCCTCTGTCTCTCCCTCTCTCTGTCCTCATTCTGCAGGTGTCGCTGACTCTGGAGCTGCAGGATTTGCCAATACAAAACTTATTATTATTATTATTATTATTATTGATAATGCCATTACCTATGTTGATATAGTGCAAATACCCATATCAACAGTATATACAACCGTTCCTGGTCTCTCTCTCTAATCTGTTCGAGTTGGACGAGTCAGACGCCCTCCCTGAGTCCGGTTCTGAGGGAGTTTTTCCTCCCCACTGTCACCAAGTGCTGCTCATCATGGGAACTGTTTGGTTTCTCTCCATAATATTGTTAGGTCTTGACCTACTTTGGAAAGTGCTTTGAGATAATGTTTGTTATGATTTGGCACTATACAAATAAAACTGAACTGAATTGAATTGCTCCCTCTAAAGTTTTTATTACATTTGGTCTGAGTGACAGTTTATTGATCATAGTCACACAGAGAACTTGTGGGGAGAAATAAATTATTTGAAATGTAAAGTAAAAAAGTTTTGAGTAACAGAAACCCATGAAAATTCTTACATAATTTGTGTAGAGGGGAGAAGTCAAATATTTATTTATTGGCTTCAAACCCTCTGCCACAAATCCGCTTTCCCTACTGGGACACTTTGTAGATTTAGGAATAAAATCTATGATAGATTTTTAGAGGTGCATGTTTTCACCTAAAAAAAAATAAACAACAAAGTTTTGATTGTTACCCTTTAAAATCACTTTGACCACATGGAAGACAGAATCAACTTCATTGGTGGCAGTGCAGTTGTAGAGGCCTGCTTCAGACACGATGAGTGTGTCTCCAGACACATGGGGAACTTTGTCTGGGCTGTAGTGCCACTGGATCTTTGGAGGTGGGTGACCATCGGCTTCACAGACGAGCTCCTCAGGATAACCTCTGAACACTGGGATTGTCTGTGGAAGCTTTGTGGCGTTAATGATGGGCTTATCTGTTGAGACAGAGGCAAAAAGAGCACTATGAGGTCAAATAATATCCAACCTGTGATGACCTGAAAGGAATTATGGTACATTTAGTGAAACTACACTTGTGCCGTTATGTTATTTAGGTGTGGTGTCCCTAATTAAAAATGTTACACACTGTCCTTTTTTAACAAGGTCTTTGTGTATTGTTGTATTGAAAGTCTCAGAAGATTCCTGTTATCCCACTGGAATGATGTGATGACATGCTCATCATCACTTCATCGTACAGTATTATCTTAATCATGACTGCTGAGCTGCAAATGTAAATGTGATCTCACAGCGGACAGTGATGTTGAGAGGACTGGACATGTTCTTTGGAGGAGGCTGTGGTCCCTCGGGTCCCAGGTCCATCTGAGCCTCGCATCTGAACTCTGCCCCGTTGTGCTTTCTGTCCAGAGTGATGCTGATAGTGGACAACACATTTTTTGGAGTTCTGACCACACTGATGTCACAGTTTCTGCTGTTCTCAGGCAGACAGTCATTCACTTGCAACGAGCCTGACGGACAAATAAACATTATGGAGGAAAATTAGTAAGTAAGTAATTAAGTAAAAAAAAAAGAAGAAAAAATATAGACAATGTTTCATTCATACTGCCTGTAATTTCAGAATTTGTTTCCATTTTAACAATCAGTCTTAGAGATGACGACAGTGAAGCATGACTCTTTTGGGATGCAGGTGAAACATGTTTCACTCACTGTCAGCATGAACTGATGTCTTGATGTGACATTTACATACACACTGTTGAACTGTTGGAAAATAAACATTACTTTTACTCTTTTGGCAGACGCTTTTATCAAAGGCAACTTACAAGTGAGGGACAACGCTAAAGCTTAAGTGCAGTAGGAGACCTTGGTATAAGTGTAAACAAGACACCTTGTTAAAGGAACATCTGCCTTTTGTGCAACACACTATAAATCAAGACGCAGTGCATTTCTCATCCTTATTGACTGTTGATGAGCACAGACTTGTCTGCTTCAAAAATACAGCTTCACAAGTGTATCTCGTAAGTGTCAACATTAGTAAACATAATTTGAGGAATATCTGCTCAATAAGGCAAATTAAGAATTACATTATTAGGATAACTGATGAAAGTTAACTACAAATGTTCACATTTCAGTTGGACATTTTAACTAATCTGAAATCAGCAGTCATTACGTCTGGGAATATATGTTCCAGCTTGTCTTTCATAATTTTTCTTTTCTTTTTGCATGTTGGCTGATAATGTCATGCCAGCACGTCTCCTTTGAACTGCAAGTTTGGCTAGCACTGTTAGATTTCCTTGACCTCACAGAAAAGGCAGAACATGTATAAATAAAGATACCCCACCTTTGATATGTGGTTCAAAGGTGTCGTTCCCTTTATACCACCGCACGACGAGGTTCTGTGCAGGAGCAACTTGGATAATGTGACACTGCAGCTGAAGCTCTTCGCCCACTACCAATGAGCTCAAGTTTTGGACAGGACTGATGAAGACACTATCTGGTATTTCTATAGAGGTGATTTGTAGAGGAGTGGGAAAAAAATCAGAGTAAATCATGATTCTAAATTGATGTCAATGAAAGTACAAAAAAAAAAATATCAAAGAATATCAATACATACTGTAGAGAGTGAGGTTTAAAGGTTTGCGGCATACTCCTAATCCCACAAACATCCCAGTACAAGCAGGCCTTGAGTCCCAGTCTTCATGGGTGTTAACATGCCAACTTTCATTGTAAATTGTGATGTTCTTGGCCTCCCAGTATCTTTCTATTAAATTACTGTTGTTGGATGTCAGTTTGCACGTTGCAGTCTGGATTGCTCCTTGGTACTGTACCACCATCCTGTCTGGAGTTATTTCAATGGGACATTCTTTACTGGCATCTGTGGAACGTAGAGTGAGGGTAGGAAATGTTATTTAAATCCAAGTCAGTACACATCCATTAACTTAACACAACATTTCCGCATCCAGTGCTGCAGTGAAATCATGTCTAATAGCCACAGGACTGTAGAACAAAAGCTGTATCTCAGGAGGCAAAGGGGAAAAAACTCAGGAAGGATATACCCCTCCCTAAGGAAACTGCACTTGCTGCCACCCATTCTTTAAGCTGGACGTGCTATAACATTCATATCTCAGTACAATGTGTCACATTTTACCCCGCCTTTTTCCTTATTTTAAAAAATATAAATACTGCTTTAAGAACGTTTATATACACACAATGTAAGAGGCTTAAATGATTAGATTCCCTACACTTTCTAATCAAACACACTTCAACTTACCAAAGAAATGTTACTGATTTTCCCACTAGTATTGACACACCAATCATTATCATTTGTTCCTATTCAAAGCATATACAACATGTAACATGAATGTGACTCATTAAATTCAGACTTTCCAGCTTCCTCTAAGCTTTTTTTAAACACCACTGTGTTGCCTAAAGTTAGCTCCTAATCACTCAGGCCATATGAACAGCCCAAAACAATCCCACTTTCAGTCATTTACAAGTATATATTAGCTAAATCGAGCCATTTCAATCTCGACAGAAAAGAAAACATGAAGTCTGTAACTTCCTCCCAAGAGGCACAACTTACTCGACTCTGTCCCGTTACAAAGCGACAGCAGCTCAAATGTCAAAAGGACCGAAAGGAGACGAAAATAATTTAAATCCTCCATTGGAATAAAGTCTCGAGAAGTGTTTCCCAAACACTGTCGACTGTTAACACCGACTCCTGCTCCTCCTCAGCTGCATACGGGACGAGCCAGCGGAGACTTGTTGACTTTTCGGGCAAAAGGCTAAGCTAAGTTATGGCTGCATGTACTCACTGCACAGTCAGCTCCCACAGCCCTGCATCACCGGAGAGGAAACTGGGAAACAGCCCTCCCCCCAACACTGGGCACGCACGCTCGCACGCACACACACACACACACACACACACGCACACACGCACACGCGCACACGCGCACACACGTACACACAGATACGCGCGCACGGCAAGCCCACATACCCACTGTGTCTATAAATGTTGTACAAATAGGCTACAAGTTAAAGTGCCAAGGCACCAGGCTTGGTCGTAGCATTTTGATTAATTGGTAGATGGATGGATAGATAGATGGATGGATAGATAGATAGATAGATAGATAGATAGATAGATAGATAGATAGATTATTTGAAAAAAGGCACAATAGTGCTAAATGAGCTAAATGCTAACATCAGTGATGTTAGGTCAAACCACTAACTACTTTTCAAACCACTGTCCATGATGAGACATTTCACTCAAAGCCACAAATGTGAACCTCTTGGTGGTACTAGTGGAAAAATCAAGTCAATAGGAGTTATCCTCTGTACGAGTTGGATGTCTGTACAACTTGTGTCAAATGTTATGTTGACCTTACTTTTCACAGTGACTCTGGCTGTTTTTGAGACTTCTCCTCTCTCATTCGAGGTGCAACATGTGTAGGAGCCGGAGTTGTATGCAGTGGCATTGATGATGAGCAGACGGGACACTCCATCTTCATTTTCCTCCATCACATTGTCCGTCCGGTAATAATTCCAGATATATTGAGGTCGTGGGTTGCTCATGGAGGAGCATTTCAGTGACACATTAGAACCAACTTCAACTTCAGCGTCTTCAAGCTCAACTATCTGTGATGGTGGGTCTACAGACAACAATGTAAACAACATAAGTGAGAGAAGAAGCAAATGTGCCAGTGTAATATACTGAATCACTCATGCTGAGCAAAGTATTCAAAATTTTCATCAGTATGACTTACATATGACAGTAATCTCCACGGTGAAGTTGACAATTGACATACTGTTTGAAGCTGTGATCAGGTACTGCCCTGCGTCACGTCTTGTTAGCTTCTCTGGAAGCTCCACCTCCTCACCATCTCTGTACCATGTTATCTCAGGTTGTGGATAACCCTCAACGGTGCAGGTGAGGTTGTGAGGAGCGTACTCCAGTGCAGTGTAATAGCTTGGACACTTCAACTCTGGTCCATCTGAAAGCAAAAACACAGAAACATTTTCTACATTAGACCTACAGTGGAGTAACTATACATTACCTAGACAGTGATGGAATATAACATTGTACAGTTACTTAGAGATACTTGCACTTTACAGGTTACTTTTGCAGATTTTGCATAGAAAGCATGTATATATATTTACACACACACACATATATATATATATATATATATATACATAAATGTATCAAATTGCCCAACATTGTATAAATTTGTTAAAATTAACCTCAACCAACTACCACAGTAAAATGTGGCTAAAACATTAAGTTTAAGTAACAGTAATCCAAAGTATGATATATATACTATATATTAATATAACACATTGAGTTGTGTGCATAATGAGTAAGTATATTTTGCTGACAATACTTCTGTAGGCCTACTTAAAAGTACCCTGTGGTGATTATGATCTCTTGTTGCCCTAGGGGTGTGCACATGTGCATGAAGACACGCATGATGCAACAAACAGTCCTGCCAATGGTTTTATACTGGTCCACTGATCTACACGTGGAGGAAACAACCCAAAAACATAACAACGTGCCAAGAAAGACAGGGAAGAAGAAGACTGCAAGCTGGTAAACATGGATGTAAACAAGGAAGGATTTTAAATACTTACAAAACCTCCAGGATGCACAGAAAATGTTTTTGGTAAGTAACACTCTTTTGTTTGTTTACAAGAGAACTCCAAGAGAACTCCATGACACCTTAAAACCAGAGCTTTAAGTTATAATAGAATCATTTTATTTTGTAGTATTTGTAGTAATTTTATTTTTGTAGTATCCTTTTTTCTAGTTAACTATATGACCTGAGCATCCAAGTGCAAACACTATAAAAAAAATATAATATTATCGAAAATAGAAAATACAATAGAGGAATGAGAAAAGTGGAAGTGAATTTAACTTTTGGTAGTACTGCTGTAAACTGAAGGGAACACTCACACAACAGAAAAACCTGGACTTCCACTGTGATGAAGGATGCGCCCTCAGCTTCGAGAATGTACAGCCCTGCATTCTTCCTGCTCAGAGGGATGTCTGGGTCTGTTGTATTTCCATTTTTTATCCATCTTACGAGGGGGGTTGGATTTCCTTCCACAGGACATTGACTGGCCAGAGTTTCCCCTTCCCGTAAGTGCAAGTTCTTGATGGGACATTTGACATCTGGTCCAACTAAACAAAAGCAAAAACAACGAATATTTACTATTTTGCCTTTACTTAACAGATGAAAAACAGCTAAGACAAATGTGGCATGAGAACTGACTGATGTATTGGTGTGATTAATTAGAAACGATTGTTTCTAATTAATCTAACAGTTAGCTTTTTTAATTAATCGATTAATCTCTTGGCCTATAAAACATAAAAAAAACTGTGAAAAATGCCTACATGACATACTTACAGTGAACTGTAATGGTATACTCTGATGATGAATTAAATTGTGGCCCTTCTGGCCCCAAGTCCACATGTGCCTCACATTTGAGTGTGACTCCATTGTCCTGTCTTTTCGCTGTAAAGTTGTACACAGATGACTGATCCACTGGTTTCTTACTGGTACTGTAGAAAGTGTCTGTACGGAGGAGTGTATTTTCTTTGTACCATCTGACAGTGAGATTTTGCACAGGTGCTACATGTTGGATGTGACATGTGAAGCTATATTCCTCCTCTTCTCTCATCACACCATTGGGGCCACTGCTGGAGCTGATGCTGACCTGTTCTGGGAATGCTGGAGAAAAAGAGGAAATTATTAGACATAGTCATCGCATCAGCCTGTTATGTGCTGAATAAGCAAGACTTACTATAAAGTACAATTTTTGTGTCCCTGGAGCACTGTTCAAATGTGCTTTCTGGTAATGGGTTTAAGAAGCACTTTGCAAAGATGTCCCAGTTTATTAGGTTCTTCACAGACCAGGTCGAATGGTTGACCTTCTCTGGACTTAGGCCTCCCTCTGTAGCTTCCCAGCCCATTCCTTCGAACACGGTCTCCGATGTGCTGCAGTTGACTGAGACAGGGTCTCCATATCTCACCACAACACTGGGGGGGTTCAGCTCAATGGGACAGGAGCCGTGCACACCTACAGCATGGCAGGAGCATATGTTATATTTGCATACTTGCTATAAGAGAAACATTTTTTTGCAGTGTTTGCCTTTTCTGTATTGTCACTATGTTCATTTAAGAAGGGGGTTAATTCAACAACTGTATCCCACAAGCTGCAGTTCTTTAATAAAAAGGGTGAGATATTCTGGCTTAGTCCACAAAGCAGAAGTCTATCATTATATACCATACAATCTTTTCTATTCACAGGAAATATTTATATTATTAAAAAAAAGTTTTAAAAAAAGATGTTATCCCTGTGTCAAAGATAACACAATAGCCAAAAACGCAATTGGTCTATGGTCATATTGCCAATAATCTTCCTTTCACATTTTATTATGCAATCCTGTGCAAAAGAAGGTCAGGAAGGAGCAAACAATGACTGCTGAAAAAAGGCCCAATGTAGCACAAAGAACTGTGTAATACAGAGTATTGAAGTGCAAAGGTCAAGGGAAATAATGGTGATAATTTTAAAACTATTACAAGGCTGGAATTATTCATCAAATTGCAGGGGAGTAGCAGTAATAAAAACTGCCGATAACTATACCAAAATACCCCAAAATGGAAGAAGATTAAAACTGAATGTGTAATTTACCCAACAAGGTGACCATATTCACCAGAGCTCAAAGAATGGGAGGTTTTACATCGATGGTAGGAGATACAAAAATCTTTTCAAGAGCCCACTAGTTAAAAAGTTGCTAGATAAATGTTGCTTTTTCTTCAACTTTCTTTCATGATGTTGAGCTAAAGCCATTGCCACTACAATATTAAACAAACATGCTTATCTCCACAAGAATAAATGACAATTTAACACTTTACTTTGAAAGAATAAAGTTGGTAGTATACTGAGTAATTGTAAAAAAAAAAAAAAAAAAAAAAAAATTCAAATGCGTATTTGTTTGGTGATGGAAAACTTTTTTTCAATTCATCTGTCACATTATTAATGCTGACGACCATACGTCTCTTCTTTGCTTAAGAAGCCATTTTTATATTTCGAACCCAGATTATCATTAACATACGACCGCTGCATGTGAAAAATACATGGCAATTAAGAGAAAAATACACACCAGGGTTTATACATTTATAACGACCATAATTTCAGCCTACCTGTCGCAATGAGAATGAACCCCGCGAAAAGTCGAAGAAATGATGTTGTTCTACTCATTTGATTCTAACAATGTCTCCTCTGTGGTTTACTGCAGCTCTGCTCAGCTGCTCTTCTCGGGTAGCGCTGTCCCAGTCCAGTACACCAATGAGGTGCAATGAGAGGAGAGGGACAGAGTCCATGCTCTCTCTCTCTCTCTCTCTCTCTCTCTCTCTCTCCACACACACACACACACACACACACACACACACACACACACCCTCTGTACAGTGGATGGCGGTTTGTGTGTGGGATATATTTATGAGTCAGGCGAAGTTACATAGCCTGGCAGTTATGATGTATTTTTAGCACATTTAAACAGATTCTTGTAAACATGAAACATAGCCTATTATATCTTGTCAAAGTGTGAACTGAATTTATTAGAGACTGTTTGTTATTATGGGCGATTATGCACACTGTAGATTGAGTGTTTCAAGATTTAGACCACTGAAGTCTTTGTTCATGTTTAGCCCCTTTACATTTCCTCAATAACAGCTCAGCAAATCAGTTTGTTAATAGTTTGTATATTCTGTGATTTATTTATTTAGCGAATGCAAAGTCCTTAAGCCAAGCAGTTGCCTCCTGGTCTGCTGTATGGAGGGTGACTAATCCTCCTTTCAGTCTTTGAAGAGGACAAACTTCTATGATGTGTTCCATGGTTTGGCTCTCCATAAGCACACAGTGGGGTGGGGCTACTGCCCCATTTGTGAAGGCTGGCCAAGCAGGGGCCATGTCCAGTCCTGAAGCGATTGAGCGTGGACCACTGTCTCCTTGGGAGGTTGGTGCCAAGGACCTGTTGGTCAAACATCTGGTGCCAGACCCGGTTGGGGTCTGGCACCAGATGTTTGTTTGGGACCTCCTTGGACTCCCATTCCATTTTCCAAGCCAATTGGATGGTGAAGTCAGCTGGTGGGATGTTCTTCCAAATTGGTCGTCTAGATGGAAGTCGAGCAGTGGGTGGGTTGTAGATGTCTGCATGGATTGGTAAATGGGGAGAGTCTTTGACCTTTTGAAGCATCTTGTGAATGACTGCTTCTCGCCGGACATGTGGGGGGGGGGGTGTTTGATAGGACAGGAAGCCAGGGGAGTGGTGTTGAGCGGATAGTCCCGGTTATGGTTCTCATGGTTGTATTGAGCTGGGTGTCCACATGGTGTGTATGGGGTGACCTGGACCAGACAGGGGCACAATACTCAGCCGCAGAGTATGCAAGGGCCAGTGCTGAGGTGCGCAGTGTGGAGGCTGCTGCCCCCCATTTTGCACCAGCGAGCTTGCAGAGCAGGTTGTTCCTTGACTTAACCTTAGCTGCTGTCGGTGTTCCTTGAAGGATAGGGTCCGGTCAAGGGTCACTCCAAGGTAGGTTGGATTAGAAGCATGCTTCAGCTTGAGTCTGCCCAGGTAGATGTTTAGTTGTCTGGCAGCTTTTGCATTGTGGAGATGGAATACACTGGATACAGTTTTTGCTGGGCTTGGCTTTAGGCGCCAGGTTTTGCAGAACTGGTCCAGTTTGGCAAGGTCTTCAGTGAGCACCCGTTCCGTTCTGTGATGACTGCTAAATTTGCATTGTGAAGTTTGCCTTTTTGTCATTTTTATGGTTTTCAACTGATTGTAATTGAAAATATATTATATATCTCTTTCATGCCTGCATGCGTTTACATATATTACTGGTGTAATGTTTCTCATTAACAAACCCAGAGAAAAAAATGATAATATAAAAATCATATTGCAAATTGGACCAATATATCTGAGACATATTTCACTGGAGAGAACAGAACAAATGAGAAATATGAAAAAAGAACATGCTTACTGCACTCCACTACAGATTTTAAATATATCATAAGTTCATAAAGTTTGATGCGGTGCAACAGTTTAAAAGTAGATAAGGTAGCTACAACATTAAAATGCCTCTCTTTGATGCATCGTGCAATTGTTTGTGACATGGTTCAACTGATGCATAATGTGTAAGTTATTTATATGTAACATCATTATAACTAATATTTAAGTATATTTCACTGCATATATATATATATATATATATATATATACACATATATTCTTCATGTTAAAATGTACATATACGTACATGTACACATCTTTATTCCATCATGTGATGAAACAGATGTTTACATAAATCCCTGCTTAAGCATTTCTTTGCTTCAAGAAATACATTTTTAAAAAGCTGTCTAAGTAAGGAACAAACATGATAAACTGTCAAAAATGTTTTGTATGCATGGTAGAAGGCTTTATTATGCCCACACTTCTTAAGGTCACCAGCGCATAGATTTACACCCACACAACCACATTTTGAGACAGATTGAGTGTTTTCAGCTCTACCAGCACCATGTTTGTGTATTTTAGACAGGATGTCATTAGAAGACAAACAACATCACACATCACATCAAGATTATTTCTTCTGTTACTAAACAATGAGTAGGACATGAGAAATGGCTCACATGCTCTTATCTAGATCCACTAATAGGGCTTTGTCATAAAATAGACATATCTCCCAAGGAAATTCCTTTCACTTTCAGGGGGGAGCAAGTTTTGATTTCCACATAACACACCATGCAGTCACATCCTGCTTTTAGTTGCTTCATATTTCAGCAGTGCAGGATATGCCAGGATATGCATGTGAATTCCTTGAAACTGGAGTAAACTTGCGCAGACACACTGATGGAATGGATGCAGGAATATTAATGATGAGTCACCTCAGGGAGATGAATTCGAGAGAGACGTACTGTACCTCCAGCAATAAATAACAAATCTGGAGGCTGGCACGCTGATTTTGCAGCAAGGCATAGATACTATACTGTCGCCCATAAAGTTGGAATAATTTTGTTTTCAGACACAATCCTGTTTATTCCTATTTAAATGCATCAGTAATCACGTTTGACCAGGTGCAATGATTACATTATGTGTCCCAATTACCCAGGTGAAATGAAATAAATCACATTGTCACAATCATTTCATGGAAAAAGGAAAAAAATATTTTATTCCAACTTTATGAGCAACAGCATATAATCACATCCTCCCTGCACTCGTGTGGCCCAAAGAAATGCTGAAAGGAAACCAGTACAAGGGTTTTGTAGTCGAAACAGGGAAAGTGAGACTGCTGAGAATAAACAGCTGTACAAAGCAAGTTGTCTTTAATCCAGCTTGTGTCAAAGGTCATTTTAAACAGTCCGTCAGATGGGAGCAGAAGGAAATAGTAGAAGAAGATATGCAACAAGGGAAGAAAGACAAACAGGAGGCTTAGGCTAAGAAAACAAGCATTGAGATTCCAGTCATGTTGCTGAAACACTCCCTATTCACAAAGAATAAAAAACAGGCATTACATACACTAGTCTCCTCTCTCCACTGTCTGTCCAGGAGGTCTTTACACAATGGCATGTCAGACGGAGTTTAACAGCAACAAAGTCAGAAGAAATGAAAACTGAACAAACCGCAAAACAAACAAAACTAAAAGGTCAAATTCTCAAGTTTTCCCAAATGTCACATATCACAGGTACGTCCTGTTCATGTTGCAACCTCAGAGAGCCATGACAGCTGCCTCCAAAGCATTTCCCAATCATTAGGATTAAGTTTCAGATGTTTACAAAAATGAGTCACCTAACAGTTAGTAGTGTGAAAATGGCAGCTTGAGTGCAGGATTTTTTTCCCACAATAAAGAGTTTCTTGTATGTGGTGATAATGTAACAATGTTGATCCTTCTTTAGCAGTGTAGTAATTTTAGGTTTACCAACATAGAGAAATATCAAAGACAACATAAATCACTCCAGTCACCTTTTTATTAACATTTCTCCGTCCTCCATAACGAAATCTCATTAATCTTGCCACAGACAATAGTTATTGTTTGTGTGAATGTCCCAAGTGTGTCCTACTGCTGTAAAACTAGACTGGGAAGTTGCATAACAATGGAAATTCTCCTCCAATTGAACAAGATAGTTTGGAAGTGATTACATAAAAGGTAAAGTATTTAACAATGTGGAAATAAACCACACAATTCTAACGAAAACCTCCCAAAATTCAGTTTATCTCATTCCTAGAGTAACAGTGCTGGCTGGTCATGAACATGCTCTTTGTGGACATGCCAGAGTACAAGAACAGTGAGGGGGGGTTGCCTTGGCAATTAAACTGCAGAAAGGATCTCAGGGACTCTAGTGGGAAATGTTAGTTCTTTAAACATTTTCCTATCACAAAGGGGAAATAGCTGTGAAAATATTACAATTGCAAAAACAAGGGAAAACACACACACAGCATGTAAAGGAAGGAGGGCAGACCAAACCAGAGATTAATCATCTGTGACGATGACTGTGCGACCTTGAGCTTCTAGAGAAAAGCTTTGGCAACCAAATGTCACTTCTCACCCTCTCTGTATCAGAGATTATTCATTTACCGTAATGTGATCATGGAAAATGCATGAGTCAAACAGAGATCCCTCTGTGCCCACAGATTCCTTGAATCTGTGCCGGCATTTGAAGCCTTTTTCTTTATTTTGAGCGAGAGAGGCAATCCCAGTGCCATGGTGGCTGCACAGACTCTGTAAACAGGGTTTCCTAATATGGCTTTTCGTGTGTAGTAGTAGTAGTAGATCATAGATATTACTCCGTCTTTATTTTTAACTGCTTCGAAAATTGTGTGAAACATCAGACCGCTCAGGTTCCGCTGATTCATCTTGTTTAGAAAAAGGGGTGTCTTGCTTATAGGTTTAAGATGATTCACACCCAACTTTGGCAGAAGCTCATGGGAATTTCAGAGTAAAACTACAACTTGTATTCAATACCCAACACGTTGTTATGCAAGGGAAGCCATTTGTCTTTAAATTCAGCTTATAATTTCAATTCACTTTCCTTCATTTCTATGCAGACCTCACACTGCACAAACTCCCCACTGAGAGTTAACACTGGCTACATACCACAGTGTTGAGAGAGATGAATTCCTTAGCCAAGGACTGAATTCTTCCCTTGATCATTAATCTGAGCACAGTTCATATCTGGAAAGGATACTGTAAATGTGTACAGTATCACTACAAAACTTTGGAACATATCCCAAAAATGGCTGATCATTTCTGGGATATGTTCCAAACCTTTTGTGAG